TTCTCGTTAAAAAACAGACTGAAACAAGAAAATTTTAAGAGAAGCTGACAGCTGTCTGTTCAGATAGTATAAATTTAGTGAGGTAGGTGTAATGGCATATGTAATGCCTTAACTATCAAAAGTGGTAATTGAAGCCTCCGGCCCCCTCCGTGTCTAGGTTTCATGGACGTTATACCCGGGTGGAGACAGGTGACAAACGCTGTCCCTCAGGGTTGTGTCTTGGGACTGGTTGGGGCTTTTAATATCAGTGACACAGACAGAGGGAGTGAGTGCACCCGCAGCCAGTTTACAAGCTGAGTGGTGTGAGTGACACACCTGAAGGACAGGGTGCCGTCTAGGACGACCTGGATAAACTTGGGCCCACAAGAACCTCGGGAAGTTCATCAAGTCCAAGTGCCCTGCGCTGCCTCTGGGTCTGGACAATGCCAGACAAAAAAAAAAAAAAAACAAACTGGAGAACACATGCTGGAAAACTCACTAAGACTAGGTCTGATGAGAAAGAACAAGGGGTTCTTATGGGTGAAAAGCTGGACATGAACCAAGAGCGAGCAGTCGCAGCCCAGAAAGCCAAATGTATCCTGGACAGCAGGTCAGAGGAGGCAATTCTGCCCTTTCTTGATGAATCCAGCTCTCCAGTCCCCTATACAGGAAAGACACGGATATGTTGGAGTAAGCTTCTGGAGGAAGCTGTGAAGACGATCAGAGTGCTGGAGCCTCTCTCCTGTGAAGACAAGCTGAGACACCTGGGGTTGTTGAGCCTGGTAGAGAAAAGGTTTTGGAGAAATCTTACTGAGGCCTTCCAGTACTTAAAAGGGGCCTATAAAATAAAGAGAGAATGCCTTTACAAAAAGGCATGTAGTGACAAGGCAAAAGAGAACACTTTAAAATTAAAAGTGGAGAGATTTAGGTTGAATATAAAAAGGAATTCTTTACTGTGAGGGTAGCAAGACACTGGAACAGGTTGCTCAGGGAAGTTGTGGCTGCCCTACCCCTGAAAGTGCTTAAGACCAGGTTGGATAAGTCTTTGAATGATCTGGTCTAGTAGAGATGTGCCTACTCATGGCACAGGGATGAGAACTACATGATCTTTAAGGTCCCGTCCAACCTAGACCATTCTGTGATTCTATTTTATTTTCCTTACAATTTTTAATTTAATACTACTTCGCTTTAATTATTAAACGCCTTATTCTCAACCCATGAGTGTCTCCCTTCTCTCCCTCCCGCGGGGTGGGGGCAGTCAGAGAGGGGCTCTACGGTGTCCCGCTGGGGTCAAACTACGCCGGGGAAGCGCCGGCCCGGCTGAGGCTGAGCTGCCCCGCCCCGTTACCGCCTGATTTGCATACCCAGGGTGCCCCGCGGTGCCGCCGGTGTCC